CACCACGACCCCACTACTACTACTACTACTACTACTACTACTACGACTACGACTACGACTACGACTACGACTACGACTACGACTACGACTACGACTACGACTACGACTACGACTACGACTACTACCACGACTACTACTACGACTACTACTACGACTGCTACTACTACTACTACTACTACTACTACTACTACTACTGTTGATTCGGAATTCCGTAATTATGTGTAACCTCGTAACCCGCAGCGACTTCTGCCACCGTAACGCAGCGCTCGACCATTCAGCGAGGCACAAACACAAGTGATGAGGATCACAGGATGTCATCCAAGGATTGTACAGCTTGCTAGATATTTCCTATGGTGTGCTTGGCGGCCCTTCGAGCCCTCGATCTGTAAAAACAAGCGTTGGCATGAGCACAGGAAGTGAGGCTTCGAACTTCACGGAGCTACAAAGCACGGGGCTACTTCACAAGCGCACTCCTCCTTGGCGCCATGCGTGAGTGCCGCACCACACCATGACATCAGAAATCCTGTTGCCATTGCGTTCTGCACAACACCTGCGCAGATGAACATCTCGTCTCCTGTTGGCATCACGAAGGCCCCAACAGTTGTCGTATACGTGAATCTCATCTCGCCCTTCGGCCTGATGGAAGGGGCCAGTATCTTTTTGCATGCCTTGCTCACGAGTAGTCACCAAAGGTGTTGTGCTCATTGATGGCGGTCGAGGCTGTTTGTTAAACGAGGAGGATGATGATGAGGAAGAAGCTTGCTCCTCACGCACAGTCGCGGTCGGTGAGGTATTCGAGGGCATCGCATCATCGAACAGCTTTTTGAGATCAACCAAGCATATCTTCTGTTCGTCACTTGGATCATGAGGAGTCGTGGACATCAGAACCTGAAGCTCCTTCAGTTCATTTCGGATGATCCTTCGGGATCCACTCTGAACAGCTCTCGCTCTCAGAGTTCGCACTCGTACTTGCCGTTGACCAACACACTGCTTTAAGGCTTCCCATATCGAAATCAACGCAATGGCCATGATCACCACCACCATGTAGAGATCCCAAAGAACTTCAGGTTGGATATTGTCCTTTATTCTCCGCAAACCTGACATATCAATAGATTTTTCCCAACCATGGATTTATGCTCAGCGACTTCACTTTAGCTTGTTGAGGTAGTCGACGATCCTTGATCTTTGATGAATGCCTTAGTTCCGATGTCCGCGCGTTGGATAACTCCCGGTTCATGCGTGAAGATCGAACATACATATTCGACGCATGAGTGGATCATCTTCCACCGAGGCCTTCCGCAAGGTTGTAGCGTTCATTGCCCTCATCAGCTTTCCCACAGCAAGCACCTCCTTAACGCTTGCGGTTCCAATCTCCGACGCAGCAGCCCCGAGTCCGAAATACCGTGTGGACCTTCAATCCTCACCTTCTTGTTTGTGGTAGTATATGAAGATGGCTGTGGCGTCGCCTTTGGGGTCGGAGGTGCGTTCGCGGTGGAGTTCGCTGTAGGGGAACCGCCCTTCTTGTTCATACACTCCTTTACCATGTGTTGTCTTCCACACTCCAGCCCTCCCAGGAGTGGGCGAAAGGGCATCTGCTAGCCGGGGACTTAGCAGCACAAGCTCCGGATCGGAGCCTAGTGGCGCATCGATTGGCGCGAATGGTGAAGGCAGCGTTGGACAAGAACCAAGATGCTATGTTCAAGACATCGATGAGGACAGACCCAAAATCGCGCCAACCAACACCTCCGTCTACTACCTCGAAAGCTCCCCCGCCTATGCCTACGTCACCGACTCCGACCCCGGGAAGCTCGGAAAGAGCTGCCAGAGAGAAGAAGGAGGTGCCGTGCAAGTACGGCATCGCCGCAACCATCTGTTCCACGTCCTCGAACAAATCGCTGCCTCGGCCGCCTCGTTTTCCTGCGCTGGCGACTGCAAGTTCTGTAGTATCTTGAGCTTCTCGCCTTCGCCCCCAGGTCGATACAAAAGACGAAACACCAGATGTGCCGTCGAACCCGCCAGCCTCCTAGCAACAACTTCTTGGCGTACAGAATCAAGAAAAGCTGCCACCACCATCGTTGCAGCCCGGCTGTTGAGCGGCGAGAACTTTCCATCCTGTAGGTCCGCCACTTCTGGTGCCACTGACAGTCTATCAAACAGGCTTGCCAACGACCAGACATCGTACACCCGATTTGTTTCGGCCGTCACCCTTCGCCACCAGGTTGCTGAGCTGTCACTCAAGTCTACCGTCAATCATCTCCATCCAGTCCATCACATCCACGCATGACGTGTCAGCGCACACCTCCTTCAGTGGAGGCAACGCCGGAGTCCCCGGCTTCATTGTCTCCGGGTTCTTATCTCCATCGGCCTTTTTATCCAGCTGCTTGGTCATCGCCGCTTGTACCTGGGCCATTCCATCTGCCAGGATCGCTATACCAGGCTATCCCAACCAGTGCTGCGTGGACTTCACACCAGAAGGCTTTGTTTGACCAGACGACCCGTGAACAGGACCTGATGTGTGCCCTAAATTGCCACCTGAGAAATGTCCTTGTACACCAAGAAGCTGCGGAGGTAGATTCGCTTGTTGGGGTAGATTTCCTGGAAGCTGCGATGCATTCCCTGGAACTACGGGAAGACTGGTCAGCCGGCAACTGGACATGGCGCTGCAGGAGTTTGAAGACCATTTCCTGGTGGTGCGGGTAAATCACCTGGAGGATGCGGAGGTAGAACCACAGCTTGCCCTTGAGAAACTCCCACATGGCCTTGAGGGACACCAGGAGGCTGCGGAGGGAAACTCATTGATTGAGGTACTCCCCACGGTTGATGGCTTGATGGGTAATACCAGGAGTCCTGGGGGCTGCGGAGGTAGATTCGCTTCTTGCGGTGATTTCGTGGAAACTGCGTGGCATTCCTTGAGCTACCAGTACATGTCCTAAAGGCTGCCGAGGTAGATTCGCTTGTTGAGGTGATTTCCTTGAAACTGCGGGGACTTGCCGGGAGGTACTGGTACCTTGTCCTGTTGAGCTACCGCCTCACGAGACCGACCATTTCTCTCACTCCTCAACTGCTGCACTTCATGCGCAACCGATGGGCTTCATCTTGATACCGGTTAGCATACTTTTCCATCTGCCTCTGAACCGCGGCCTGCAACTTCGACGAGTGTTCACTCCCTTTCTCTGACGGCTGTCCAAGCAAAAGAAAATGTTCTCGTTGCGCTTGCCTCATCCGCTCAATCTGCTCCTGAGCAAACAACGGCGGCTCGTGATGCCCTGCCACAAACCATGAAAGGGCTACAGGAGGTGCCCTGGGAGGAGTTGCTCTTCGTAGAAGTTCTTCAGGAGGCGAAAATTGCCGAACGAACGTGCCACATGAACATGCTGAAAACCCAAGTTGTCCAACGTTCTGTCCATCCCAGTAACTCCTCTGCTCGCAGTGGTTCTCAAGAACTCCGTTACTCGAGTCATCCATTTCATTCCATGTGGTTGATCTGGGCTTGTAGTAGAAGTACGCGACTCGGCAAAGAAATATTCTTGAGGATGGATTGTAGGGCCTTATTGAACCGAAGACTCTTCGTCACATCGAGCCTGAGGCACCAACGACATAGGTGTTGGGGTCTGGACCGTCGGGCCTCAAGGTTGGACTCCACTATCGGCATAGGTGACTTTTTTTCTCCTGTCACCCAATGGTTTGGGTCTGTCAGGGACCTGTGGAGACGCTTGCGGAGCGGGATCATAAAGGTTACGATTTGCGTGCGTCGACCGACCACTTTGCCCACCAATCGCATCACTATGTTGCATTCCCTTGTCCACGCCATTGTCCAAAGGTTGAACAGAAGACACTGTCCCATAGCCCTCAAGGTTCCTGTTCGTAGCAATGGCTCCGACTTGGTATTGGGCGTGCATAACCTGTAGAAGCCATCCAAAGATTGTACAGTTTGCTGGATGTTTCCTATGGTGTGCTTTGCCTTTGCTGGCCCTTCGAGCCATCGATCTGTAAAAATAAACCTTGACATGAGCACAGCAATGAGGCCCCTCCTCCGACTACGACTACTGCTTCTGCTGCCATTGCGATGACGACGACAACAATGGCAACTAACTAGTGCTACTGCTACTACGACTACGAGTACGACTACCGTTACTGCCACTACTACTACTACTACCACCACCACCACTACTACTACTACTGCTTCTGACATAGCAGTATGCCCTGGACAAGTCAATATCGAAGATCCAGACTTGGGAGCTGCAGGCTCCGGGGTGACAATGGCCGATCAATCGGCACAGGCCGACAAGCCTGGGAGAAGGCGGACGGAAGGTCAAGGGTGGGGGCGAAGAGGTGTTCAGGGTTTTGTTCCTTCGATGTTTTGGAGCCTTCCGCAAGAGTCAAAGCACTGTTTGGGTAGCATTCAGACGGAGGGTTGTGGATCCAGAAGGTTAAGTATCAGCCTTTGTCAAGCCAAAAACCAATAT